GCCCCGGCGGCCTGCCGCAGGACCCTCTGCTGCCTCTGGTGGAGGGTGCGCCGTTGTGCCCGCCTGTCCAGTGGCAACACGTCTATCCTGGCCGGGGGGGGGGCCACACTGGAAGCCAGTTGTCCACACGTGTTGCGCAGAGTGCCATTGTACATTGCCAGTAGAACGTCCTTCGCGCTTCCTCCACCACCTGCTCGATCGCTCCGCCCTTATACCCTTGTAGTATCCCGTCCAATCTTCCCTCCTTTACCCACTCCTTTCGCCACCTCGTCACAGGAGCCTTCGGGGAGCCCTCCGAGTGCTCTGGGTAAGTGCTGTGAGGGTGCCCGAGTGACCTCCAAGACGAGCCTTAGAAGGCTCCCAGGGCATCCACAAGAATATAACGTTGGTTGCGGGTGTTCTGAGAAGGCTTCCTAGAGTTCTCATGGAGCTTTCTTGGAGCCTTCCGACTCTGGAGAGCCTTGGGAGGAGCCCAAGAGGGCTCCACGAGAACCCCAAGAAGACCTCAAGAGGCCCCTCCTCTACAGAGCAACCGCAACGCACTTAATGCCATTTGATGGTGCGGGCGCTCTCGGAGCATTCGTGCGGTCCTATTGGAGCGATCTTGAACCCTCCGCGACGCCCTCTCAAGTCTCTGGGGGTGGGTCAACAAGGTGCGGCATCATAATTCGTGGCGCTTCGCGTGTCCCCACCAGCGCTCGTGCCGCCGCTGGTTACTCCTTGGCTCTGCAGTCACCTGTTGTTACGTGGCAGTGTCATCCGGTGACTGGATTGGATTCGCGTTCTCGCGCTGGCTACTTATGACGAGTATATGGAGTACTGCAAGGCCTGGTTGATCCTCTACTTGTTCCACTTCTGAGCTGCGGCTTTTCTTCTCTTCTCCCGCTCCCTCGGTTTCCCTCTCGTCGCCATTATTTTCGTTCTGCCTTCTTTCTGCCGTCTTTCTTCTCTTCGCGCTCTTTCTCGCTTTTGTTCCTTCGTCGTTTCGCCCCCATTTCGCTTTGCCCACGGTGACGCGTAGCCGGTTCGGCGTAGCTGCCCCTCGTTTGTCTGCCTGATTTTGTGACGCCGCGCGGGTGTCCGCTCGCGGTCGCGATCAAAAAGTATCCCCACCAGCCCATCCAGAAGCAGACCGCCAGGCGAGTTGCCCTGATCAGGGAAGTGAGGAAATGTCCAGCGCAACTACTGCCTCGGAAGCGTTTTGGCGGAGGTCTCTTGGAGCCATGTTGGGCTTCTCTTGGGGTCCTCGGGAGCCTCCCGGGGCACTCTTGAGGCCCTCTTGGGGCTCTCTTGGGGCCTTCTTGGGGCCCTCTTCGGGCCCGTTGGGGAGGGGTATGGGAGGCCTTTTGGGGCCATCTGAGCCTCCATGGTTCAAAAGGAAGGGTGGATTCAGCCCCCCCCCCCGCTCCTCGGATGCTCAATAATGGTCGTGGCGCTGGCTTGGGGCGCTCTTGGGCACTCTTGCAGCCCTCTCGGGGCCCTCTTGGGCCCCTCTTGGGGCTCTCTTGGGCCGTCTTGGGGCTTGGGGCCATCGTAAAGCCTCAAGAGAGCATCGGAAGCGAAAAGGCGAGGATGCACACACCATTGATTTTCCATCGGTTTTAAAGCCACGTTGGCCCCTTGGGGGGGGGAGGGCTCGGAGGGCACTTGAAACCGTTTTGGGGCCGTCGTGGGGCCGCTTGGATGTGCGCTGGAGGATGCCTGGGGCCATCTTGATGTATCTTGAGCCATCTTGGAGGCCACCGTGGGCTCTGAGGCCCTCTTGGAGCCATTTTGGGCGATCATGAAGGCTCCAGCGCCTCGTTGTCCCCCTTCCCAGGCCCAGGGGAGGGGGTAGGGAAAGGGGTAAACGCGTCCCCCGAGCAGGGGCAGGAGAGGCGTTGGCAGCGAGAAGGCGCAACTCGCTAAACCATCCACATCCAGAGGTTTGGTGGGATTCCGAGGGCATCCCAAGAAGTTCTCCAGAACACCCGCATCAAACTAGCCCGGAGAAGCCCCACGCATGTGCACGAGGACCCCAGGACGGAACAAAACGGGACCAAGTCGGACGCAGGGATTCGCCAGACGGTCCCACGAGGTTTCCAGGACGGCCCAAGAATGGCACGTGTGTTCGGGATGCCCCCCAAAAGGAGAGCCAAACGAGGACCCAACAGCAGCCCGAGAGGGGCCCGACTGGGCTCCGATGGAGGTTTTGGAAGGCCTTCAAGACGGCCCAAGAGAGTCAACAGAGCCCTCCCCGAGGAGCACCGCCCTTACAATGCCCTGGGCCCCTCCCTTCCTCCGCACTCTTTCGCGCGAGCATCGGTGTTTCCCTGGTCCTCTCTGCATGAGGTGTTGCTTGTCACGCTGACGTGTGTTTCCTAGTCCTTTTTTCCCCTCCCCTTGCATGCTGCCACACGCTGGAGCGGACCGCCCCTGCCTCGCCGCCGACGGAAACAGTTCATGTGTGTGTGTACGCCCGCATGTGTGTATGATCCTGTTTACGTGTACGTGGAAGTATTTGCACATGTACAGTAAGTATATACATGCTCGTGTGCTTACACATACCACAGACCACCTGCATCACAGTGCAATGTGCTACGAATGGTTTGACAGGGGGCCCTCTAGGGGTCCTCCTGGGGTCTCAGTGGAGCCATCGATGAGACCTCTTGGTGCTCTGGGGAAGTGCCCGGAGTGCCCAAGAGACTTCCAAGGCGAGCCTTAGAAGGCCTCCAGGGCATCCGCAACAATGTTGAATGTGCTGCGGGTGTTTTGAGAAGGCGTCCTGGAGTTCTCATGGAGCCTTCTTGGAACCTTCAGACTCTGGAGAGCCCTGGGAGGGGCCCACGAGGCTGCACGAGGATCCCAACAGGACCTCCAGAGGCTCCTACTCCTCTGCAGAGGAACCATACTGCACTTCATGTTTTTGCTGGCGCTCTGGGAGCATTCGTGCGGTCTTACCGGAGCGATGCTGGACCCTTCACGAAGCCCTCTCAAGGTGCGTACTAACAACGACTATAAGATCTCAAGGTCCCAAAGCACCCGCAACATAACTCATTCTTGGTGCGGCCGATAGGTTGCTTCGTTGATGTTCCCTAGTGGACCCTCTGTGGGCCCTCGCGGCGTCCTCCGAAGGCTTCAAGACGAGCCCAAAAGAAGGCATCCAGAGCACCCGCAACATACATCTCTGTGTTGCGGGTGCTCTAGGGGGGTGTTTATTTGTTCTCTCACGGCTTCTTTTTGGTTCTATCGTGGGATTATCTTGATATCGCTCTGAGAGAATCCTCGGAGGGCGTCTGCAGATGACCCCAAGAGGTTCCCAATGAGGCCCCAAGTGCACCCACATATTGAATACTGTCGCAGGTGCTCTGAGGGCATACTTCCTCCCTGGACCTCCTGATGCCTCCTGGGATCTCCGGTGGGGCCCCGGGACCTCCTGTGGCCGCCGCCTCTGCGTGCCCCCTCCGCCCACCCCTCCTTCCGCGGCCTCCTCCCTGCTCCTCCTCTGACCGCAGCCGCTCGGGACACAGCCGCCGCCCGCGCACGCGCGATCGCCCCGCGCCCTCGCCGGCAGACCCACGGGGCGCCAGCGGCATGCTCGCCCGCGCGCTGTCCAGGATGCTGCCGCCGCCGCTGCTGCTGGCGCCCCCGCCGCCGACGTCGCTCTCTGGGGGCAACGTCGCGGTGGAATTGGCTCCGGGGGGGGGGGGGGATCGGAGAGTCGGCGAGGAGGGAGGAGGAGGAGGAGGAGGAGGAGGAGGAGGAGGAGGAGGAGGAGGAGGAGGAGGAGGAGGAGGAGGAGGAGGAGGAGGAGTCGAGGGGGAGCATCCGTTTGGAGAGTCGGCGATGCATCGCCGCTAGCTCGGCGATGCGCCCCCCCCCAAGGGCGAACCCTCGCGCTCCCGGGCGGGGCGGGCTCTCGGGCCCCCTTTCTATCGGCGGCGAGTGGGCCCGTATGGGGTCGATAGGCCCGCCCCCCCCCCCCGAGCCTGTCGCCTGGTGGTTGTCGGGTCGTGCCTCGGGCCTCCGGCCGTGCGGGACAACCGGGCCCCCCCCCCCCCCGAAGGCTCTCGGCGAGGCGCAGCAGGGGCACCAAGGAGGCCGGAAAGCCACCGAGAACCGACGGAAGGCGTCCGAAAGCCTTCCGCATCGGAGCAGCTCTTCCCCCGGGCCCGCCCCCCTTGACGCTGCCCCTGACGTTTTCCGTCGCTCTTTGTCGTCGTCGTCGGCGTCGTCATCGTCGACGCCGTCGCCGTCGCTGTCGGCGTCGTCGTCGTCGTCGTCGGCGTCGGCGTCGGCGTCGGCGCCGGCGTCGGCGTGGGAGGACCCTGCGGCCGGCGGCCCGCACCCCGGCGCTGGCGGCCGCGAGGGCTGGCGCGGTGCCGGCGGCCCGCGGCTTCTCCGAGATGGCGCTCGGGGGGGGGGGTCAGGGGCTACTGATGATGATGATGATGATGATGATGATGATGATGATGATGAAGATGATGATGATGATGATGATGATGATGATGATGATGATGATGATGATGATGATGATGATGATGATGATGATGATGATGATGATCATCATCATCATCATCATCATCATCATCATCATCATCATCATCATCATCATCATCATCATCATCATCATCATCATCATCATCATCGTTATTGTTTAGGGAAGGATGGGCTCAGGCGGCTGCACGGGGGTCAGCCAGAGTGCTGGATCTCGCAGAGTTCTGCAGAGCCAGGGTTGCACTGACCAGGGTTGTGTAGCGCGCAGGATCCTGCAGGATCTCGCAGGATCCTGCAAGTCCTGACCAGGTTTGCATTGACCAGGGTCAGTGGATCCCCCAAAGAGACTCCGGGCGGAGTCGGCTGCACGTAAAAGTGACGCTTCGCCCGAGTGACCTTTGGTGCGGGCCCACGGGGTCCCCCGATCGCCGAACGCGATGTGGTAGTAGCATCCTGCGCGCTCGTGGTTGGTAATACGTTCCCCCGCCAGCACGAGCGGCCTGATCCGATTCCGCCCTCAGGCGGGAGCGTGCCGCCCTTGTTCGGAAGAGCTATTGGTAATGAGAAATACGGAGTGCACATCTTGCCAGAGTTGCAGTGTCCGCCACCCTGCTGTAGGGTCTGAGCGGAGTGTCCTCATGTTTAGCCGAGTTCTTTGAATTGACGTGGTGCATCTGGTTTTGCTCAATTGCGAGGCATTCTGAATTCTAGAGCGTTCCCAGGGTTTGGGTCGTGAGTTCCCCGAAGCCTCGGGATCGTGCTTCGTCGCGGTTTCGCTTGTTTTCGGTCTTGCGAACGTTCAGACAATCCCCGAGGCCCGCCCAGATCGCCCCAAGATGGGCCCCGATCCCCCAGGAAGGCCCAAGAGGCTTATACAACAGCCCCGAAAGAGGCCCAACGCTGGGAACTCGACCGGAACGTTTGGGGCGCCCTCCACCCCAAGGTGCCCCCTTCAGACCTCCGAGAGGGGTTCAAAAGGCCCCCAGAGGCTCCCAGCAGACCCCCAAGATGCCTCCGAGATGCCTACAACACACTCCAGAACAAATGCTTCTAGAAGGGCCCACATGAGTTGTCCAATTGACTCCAAACATCTTTCAATACGTGTTTTGCCCATCGCCCAAGCGCGGTGGCGGGATGAACCGAAGGCCACCAGATGTATCTACGGGAGGCCGTTCTTGAGAAGGAGTCTGCGCGTGCTGGGCGCTTAGATCTCCAGTTCGGGGACGCTGGCGACCGATCTCCCCCTGCTTGCTCTTCGAAAATGGGCCACACCTTGTGGGCACAAATTAAATCCATACCCACTTCGTCTTGGATTTTCTGGGGGTGCCCACAGGCCGCGGCGCAGTGGATATGTAAAGAACTCGGACCTCTAGGGGCGAACTTGTTTGATCCATATCCACGGCGCCGCTGGTATCGGAGGAAGGTAACCCGAAACTCCAAGACGCAGTGTATATGGATAAAAACCTTGCCCGCTACAGTTGTGTCGTGAGGGCGCATCCACTTCCAACACCTCGCGGCCTGGACTTCGCAGCCGCGAGCCCATGGATGTACACGGCGGCTTTCCGCAAATGTCCCGCGCGGAACAGTGCTATGCGTACATACATTGGGCCACTCATCGGTAGCCAGACCGCGAAGCCATGGATCCGGAATGTGTTCGTGGATTGTGAGGGAGATCGATCGGGACGATCGAAATGAGTACAGAAATGATGGGTACGATGCCCAACAGCAGCCTTTTTTTCATTTTGAACAGGAATCGCTGTCCGCGCCGCCGCGGACGTTATTTGTTTGAAGGCCAATAGCCGCCCGCTCAACAGCGGCCGCTGCCTGTGTTGGACAGCATTTGTTGTTGGGCATTGGATTCGTTTTTCGGTACCCATGTCGGGCGTTCGATATAAAGTTCGTTGTCTGTGTTCGAGCGTTTGAAACTTCTCCACGCTGTTGGCGGCTCGAACCGATCGTGCTCTGCGTCTCGGGAGCTTCGTGCCGGAAGGTTTTCCAACTTTTTTGCGTTTGGGGCCGTTTGTGGGCCGCCAGACAACCCGCAGTCAGGGTGCATGAGACCAAGGATGCAAAGGTGAGCTGGCTTGCTGAAGTGTTGCATCCTGGCTATGGGTTTTGGCTGTACTTGTCTTTTCTTTGCGCAGGCGTCTCCGCAGAAGTTCGCGATCTACCGGTACGACCCAGACACCCAGGCCAAGCCCTTCTTGCAGGAGCTGTGGGCTTCATTCGTGGTTTGTTTCACGACGTTTTTTTTTTTTCACGCCGTCGGATCTCAGGAAAGGCCTGGGGTCCAGCAGTTCAGGTGGCCTTGACAGGCCTCCTGGGTAGCCCATGGCGGTCTCACTACCCGGGCGCCGCATCATGCGGCGACCGTGGGGCGTTTCCTGCCCCAGGATTGGGGGGGATGAGACCCCCCCAGGATACCCTCGAGGCCAGCGGAGGCCAGCCAGGACCTCTGGGGCTTGTAAGCGCGTAGTTCTTAGTCCTGCCTTGGAGGAGTACACTATTGACCTGCAGAGTTGCGGGCCGATGATCCTGGACGCCCTCATCAAGGTCAAGGACGAGGTGGACCCCACCCTCACGTTCCGCCGCTCCTGCCGCGAGGGCATCTGCGGCTCGTGCGCTATGAATATCAACGGAAAGAACGGCCTCGCATGCCTCCTGTACATCGAGCCCGGCCCAGCGCCGATCGAGATCCAGCCGTTGCCCCACACGTACGTTGTCAAGGACCTCGTGCCCGACCTCACGAACTTCTATAACCAGTACAAGTCCATCGAGCCTTGGCTCAAGCGCAAGGACGCGAAGGCAAAGGGGGAGAAGGAGTACTTCCAGAGCAGGGAGGACCGCGCCAAGCTGGACGGCATGTACGAGTGCATCTTGTGCGCCTGCTGCATGACATCGTGCCCGTCCTACTGGTGGAACCCAGAGTATTACCTTGGACCGGCCGTGCTCATGCAGGCGTATCGGTGGATCGCGGACTCTCGCGACCAGTTCACGGAGGAGCGCCTCGCGTGGGTGAACGACACCATGAAGCTCTACCGTTGCCACGGCATCATGAACTGCACGAACTGCTGCCCCAAGGGCCTGGACCCCGCCAAGGCCATCGTGCACCTCAAGGAGGAGGTGGCGGACACTTATAAGGACGCCTGGAAGGGCATGATGACGGAGCAGATCGTGAAGAACAAGGGCCGCGAGTCGGGCATGATGTACATGTGAACGCCGCGCCGCCTCTCGCTTCCCCGGGTACGTGCCAGCAGTCAGGTGCGTCAGCTGGGGAGCAGTTCGGGCCCACGTTGTCGTAGCTTACGCCCACGCGCCCGCCTATGCGGCGCCGTTCCTGCTTGGGAGGCGCCCGCGGCGCTTTTTGAAGCAGCGGGCTGCTGCTGCAACTTTTTGTCCAGTCGGGGTGTTCCCGGCCTGCTCGGTGGCGTTCCGTTTCACGCCGCGGTGCCGGTCGCGGTGTGGTGTCGTTCGGTGGCCGCCCTCGGTGTTGGAAAAGTCCGTCTGGCTGGTCGGGGCCAGTGTGACCTCTCGCTTCATCTTTCTCGCTGCAGCCGTCTGTCTGCCCCTCCCTAAGTCCCCTGGCCTGGCCTCCTCTTGCTGATCACCCATTTCCCTTTTCCTTCTCCTCCTCCTCCTACCATCCGCATGATTACTCCTGCCCCTCCTTCTCTTCCTCGTCCTTCTGCTCCGCCTCTGTCGTTTCCCCCTCTGATTGTGGCGATGTCTCCCCGTATACATCTACGTCCTTCCAATCCCCCTTGTCCTCCATCCTCATCGTCGTCCTTCCGTTCGTCCTACATCACCTTGACCCTTTACTGCTTCTTCTTCTTCTTCTTCGATCTCCTCCCCCCTCGTCGTCATCCTCATCGTCTCCCACTCACTACTCTCGTGGGGCGATCTCGAGCCTCCTTTTCCTGCCGAGGTGATGCGTCTAAGTATTTGGCAAGCTGTCCCGAGCTGAAGTGCAGGAGGAGGTCCTCCTCCCGCTCCACCCTCTTCTTCCTCCTACCCTCCCGCTCCCCCTTCCCTTCCCTTCCCTTCCTGCTCCTCCTTAACCTTCCTGCGTCATCCTCCCTGGAAGGATGACGCCAAGCTCGCTCGCCCTGGGGACGCCGCGATCCTCGTGGCCACCACCCGCCCACCACACGGCGAGCCTCTCTCCACGAGGCTCTGAGGCTCCAACCCCTGCAGGCCCTGGCGCGCCATGGCGCGCCGCCGCTACCCAGCCCTTCCTCGCGCGATGCCGCGCTAAGGCCGGAGGAGAGGTGAGGCGCCACCAGGCTGTGTGCTATCTGCGGAGCTGAAAAGGGGGAGAGCACGCACTGGGTTGAAACACCTCCTGAACATCATCGACTGATAAGAACAAAGCGCCATACACATAAACTTTTGGCGCTCCGTTCGGGTTTCTTGGATCCGCGCCTGGGCCCCCCCAGCGGCGCCTCCAGAGGAGCCCCTGGCGCGCTCCGCGCGTCAGGGAGAAGGGTCCCGCGCGGATCAAGAAATCCGCGAGGAGCACCAAAAGCTTATATCTATGCTGTTTTTTTTTGGGGGGGGGTCTAATTAAACGATGTTCAGGACGTGTTTAAACCCATTGCGTGCTCTCCCCTGTTCAGCTCCGCAGGTGGCAGACAGCCTGCGCCGTCCTCCGTTGCACCGCAGGCGCCGTACTGAGGGGCTCTGGTGGACAAGCACACGTTGGTGCCAACACACGTTCTGAGGTCATCGGGCCAACCCCAGCCGCCTTCTACTCGGCACGATCGAAATGGGTACGGAACGAACGGGCACAAAGACCAACGGCGATAATTGCCCATGTTGAATAGAATCCGTTGTCGGCGTCGCCGCGGGCGTTGTCCACTTGAGGCAGAAGGCCGCCTGCCCAACAGCGGCTGCTGTCGTTTTTGGACAACATTTGTTGTTGGGCATCGTACCTATTTTTTCCGAACCCGTTTCGGGCATCCGAGCCACCCTCGTCTAAATTGCTCGCCTCCTCCCCACATTGAGCAGCGCGTCACGATTGTCAGCCAGACTACACAGCCCATCGACGGGTGGCACGGGTAGGTGGTTGGCCGCGGCGGGCTGTACAATCGCGTCTGTTTCGCCAACGTTCAGGATGCAGCTCCTGGGAAGTCAAACTCAGCATCAGCGCTAGTAGATCCGCAGTCGAAAACGGCCTAATCCGGCATAATCCTTTAGTCGAATCCAGCCTAACCTTGCTTCGTCTGGCCCGATCTGGCTTAGTCCCAGGCTGGATCCGGCTTGCTCTCGCCTGATGGCCTTCTAATCGGGCTTTCTGGTCCTTGCTCGTTCTTTCGGAGACCTCCCAGATTTTTGCCTCGTAAGACTGCCCAGCTCCACCGTGCCAGGTTGCTCCGCCCCCCACGCGGCCGAGGCCCCCGGCACCGCCGCCCTCTGGGGACACCCTGGCAGCCTTGTGCCCCCCGCCCCCCCCCGCTGGGCTCGGCGTCGGGGAGCTGCCGCGAGCCGCGAGGTGCCCCCCCCCCGCGGCGACAGGTGCCGCGCACCACCGTGCGCCGACCGCACGCGACAGCGGACGACGCCCGCTCCACAGGCGGCCCGCCGCTGCGGTCCCACGCGCGAGGCTCGCCGCCGCGCGCCCTGAGAGCCCCCCCCCCCGCGGCGCTCACCCCTCCCATCGCCGGGAGGTCACGCCGTGCTCCTGCCGCGGGCGCCACCCGCGACGCCCACCCCAGCCTCGAGGTCCCTGCCCCCGAGCTGCCCTGATGCGCCCGTGTTGAGACGCCACGCGTGCCGTGTGCACCATGCTGGCACGCTGCGCGCTGGCTCTGCACGTGCTGGCCCACGCCCTGGCGAACGCACCGCGCCAGACCCACGTCGCCAGTCTGCGTGTCCAGCTTCGGGGTCCACGCGCTACGGGCTGCGTGCTGCGTGCCAGTGCGGCTATGCGCTGCCCAGCTCGGGGCAACCTGCCTGGCTGACACACTGCTTGGGGTCCTCATGGGTTAACTTTGGCCCAATCCGTACGCGGCGCCTCTGAGCGTTCCAGGGCCTGCCGCCCTGGTGCGTGCCCGTGGGATGCCGGTGCAGCCCAGGCGGCCCACGTCTGGGCTCGGGTGAGCGCGGCGCGGCGAGCGCGGGCAATCTATGTGTGCCGTCCACGCCTCAGCTCGACGCCTCGGCGCGGCACGCCTCAATCCTTACGTCGGGCCTGTCCTTCTACAGGAGGAATGTCCCAAATAGTCAAAAAATAGTCGGGGAACGATTTTGGGGTAGTTTTGAACATTTTGTGCGATTGTGTTGACTCTTTTGAAATTTGTTCCTTCCAAAATCTGCCTGTAGGGGGACACGCCCGACCTGACTCAATCGTCGCACCGCCTGGCCGCCCCAGTCGCGCCCCCCGCCCGGCTGCGGACGGGCCGGGCGAGGGGGCGCCCGCTGCCCCGCGCAGCGAGGCCCCCTGGCGGGGTCGGAGGCGGCGAGGGAGGGCCTGCGCGTCAAGGACGACGTCGCCGACGACGGCTAGGACGAGGACGTCGACGACACCGACGACGTCGACAAGGACGTCTGCGAGGACGAGGACGTCGACGAGGACGGGGACGTCGGCGAGGACGAGGACGTCGACGAGGACGGGGACGTCGACGACGCCGAGGACGACGAGGGCGCCACCCCCCGCGACGCCGCGAAGGTGCAGAGGGGGGGCGGGCCTGGGAGTCCACTGCCCCTCTGCTGCGAGGCAGGTGTGCACGAGGGCGTACAGGGGGCACCTGTGTCTACACAGCTGGGAGGGATTCGTGAATTCCGTAGGGGCCGGGCCTGAAATGCCTCGAGAAAAGCACGCCCGCCCGAATCGCAAGTATTTTGTGATGATATTCGCGGACCGCTGAAGATTGACCCGGAAGTCCTCTGGCCCTCTCGGAAGGCCCGGAAGTCCTCCGGCCTTCTGAAGAGTGTTCGAGGCCTTCCCCGCAGGCGCAGAGAACCTCTCGACGAAGGCGTGCGAGGGCTTCTGGGAAGTCCCACGGCCTTCTGGGAAGGGCCTCTCCTTCTCTCACTTCCCCCCCTCCCCCCCGCTCGCCGCCGAACGAAAGCACTTCAAGGTCCGAGGTTTTTTCGGGCGCCCTCGTCGGTCCTCGGCGGTCTCCCCCGCCGCGGGGTGCTCTCTCCAGCAGCAGCGCCCCGCCGATGGCGTTCCCGGAGGGCCGCCGGGGGGGCCGAGCGATGGCCCGAAAACTGGGCCCAGGCGTCGTGGCGGGCGCTTTCTGGCCACACCGCTGGGGAAACGATATACAGTCAAAAACCCCAAGAAGGACGCGCGACTTTGCTCAGGGTACCCTTGCGTCCTTGCTCTTCCTTGCTCTTGCGTCTCCGTCCTTCCTTGGTTTCGTCTTGGGCTTTTCGTCGTCCGCCGCCCCAGCAATCCCAACTTCGGCTTCCAAGGGTCTTGCGTCCTTACCGCGCGTCCTTATTAGGGTTTTTGATTGTACTACAAGTTCTACTAACTGTTCGGGTCGGATGCGCGCCTCCGAGGAGGACATATAGTACTAGTATGTCCTTGTGCGTCCCATTTTTCACCAGTTTCGGCCCTTACAGGGCCTCGGGGCCGTCGAACTCATGAGGAAGAGCAGGTCCAGGGGAATGAGTCGAGACCGTTGGGGGTCGACATGAAGAGCAGGTCATGACGTCGGGGGTCTGGGACGACCGCCGCTTCTTCCGACGTGGCCGTCTGCAGGACTCCTTGCACGACGGCTCTCCGCGCGCTAGGGAGGGGGTCCAGCGCGGATCCAAGAAATCAGCGCGGACCTCCAAAAGTGTAATTGTTTGTCCAGTTGTTTATTTAATCTTCCTCTCTGCACTCCCTGCCTCCCACCACTCCCCTCCCTCTTCCTCCCCTCCCCCCGCCCGCGTCTCAGGTGGACAAGCTGGCATTCTTCCCCCCGAAGCCGCCCGGGTATCCGCCGCGGCCTCCGCCGCCCCGGCGCACGCACCCTGTGTGGGGCGGCTGACCTTCTACGCTGCGGTGCAGCGTCGTCCTCGTCGACCGGCGACCGTCGCACGTCGTTTTCGTCGACCGTCGTCGCTCGTCGTCGACCATCGTCGTCGTCGTTGTCTCGTGGTCGTCGTCATCGGCGTCGTCGCCGTCGTCGGTCGTTGTGGTCTTCGTCGTTCGCCGTCGTCATCAGGCAGCTTACGAGAGGACCGTCGTCGCTCGACATGACCTCCGTCCGACATGTTGGCCACCAGAGGCTTACGTGGACCAGAGCTCCAAGGACCTCCGCACTGTGAGGATGCGTTGGTCAGTGTTGTGAAGGAGCGCGTCGTGTCAGGGATTTTTTTTTGGCGGGGGGGCCTGGAGGGACCAGGTGCGCTTGTGGTCCCCGTCTTCGCCTTCCCGAGCGCTGCCGACGTTGAACATCATTCCCTCCAGCATGAGTCAGGCTTGACAGCTGTTCTACCCAAGCTCGCCGAGTCTCGCTCTATTTGCCTCCTCTCCCTTCATCATTCCCACTACTCCGTCTTCAGAGCAGGGCTGGACCTGAACGCTGTTTAGCTGGACTTCGGCTGTGTTTCGTGTTTCGTTTTGGGAGGGAGGTACAGGACAACAGGTGGAGCTAAACGAAACGCAAAACGAAAACAAAACGAAAAACAGCGTTTCGGTCCAGCCCTGCTTCAGAGCCCTGGATTGGGGCAGTGTCGCCCAGGCCCCCCCCACCAGCACTGTGCAGGGCGGCGTAGAGGGGGACCTCTGGGGCCCGAGATCTGGTCGTCCTTCGGTTCGGACCCGCCTGGATGCAAAAGCAGGCCCAGTCATAATCGCGTCGTGCAAAATTCAGGGCGGTAGGTTTTTGGCCGTTTTCGGCCTCGGGGGGCCCTCGCCGGGCCTCGCGGAGGGCCCTCGCCGAACCTCGGGACGTTCAAGAAACGCCGGTCCCAGGGAAAAGGGTCGGGACTTCCAGGGACCCCTGATTGAAAAAACAGGGCGTCACATGTCGGGGGACGGTCCGCCAACGGACGAGACGATTCTTGATGTGACAGCGGTCCTCTACAGATTGGATTACGCCCGCTAGTACCAGCCGAGCTCCATTCGAATTGTGGCGCGACTGTGCCGTCCGTGCCGAAGGGTGGAGAGTCAGTCGGCGTTGGCAATTTCGTCGATACGCCATTCGGTACCCTCAGGGAAGTAACTGCTTGTGCCATAGCTGAGGTCAAGTCTCCGGCTGTGGAGCTTCGGCTCTGGTTGACACAATGCCATACGACGCCCTGACCGTGGGAAGAGTTCGCTGGTCGCTAGGCTTTTGGACGTAGATGCGGAATGCTTGCGGCAGGTTCAAAAGTATGGGCGGCCCACTCTGTAGACACGCTAACGGCGATGCGGGTAACGGCGATGTAGGTTTCAGTATTATTGGAACGCGCGGTTCGTGTTTTCCTGCAATTCGTTGAGTCGCTTTCGTTCGGTACATCCGCATATTGGAAATGTAGGAAAGTGTGGTTCGCTATTTCCTACACTTCGGTTTTCAACATCACCGTTAAGCAACATCGCAAGGAGCGCGGCCTTGGCCGCTGCGGCGAGACAGCGGTGGGCAGCGAGGCTGCCGGATGAGGCCGGGATGTTGTGGCTCTTCCGGCCGGCGTGCCAGATGCCTGCTGTTTCGAGGCCGACGTCTCTGCTCCAGCGACTGCGAGATTTGCCAAGGCTCCCGGCGCAAGCCAGGTGCCAGACTCGCCAGCCCCACCCACGACTGCCGCGGGCCAGGGCAAGCAGTCCATGCGTTCAGCTGCAAGGTGATCGACGACAGAAAGCGAGGGTCGACTGCGCCGACACTGGTGCGTACGCTGCCCGCGTGAGGTCGCGCGTGAGCGCCCTCGTCTCCAATTTGGCGTGCCGCGCTGGCGGCCAGTGTGAGCCGCCGCGTAAGGTCGCTGTGCCATCTCGCGTACAGTCGGGGCCCTGAAGAAGGAACCCTTTTCGTTGGGGAGGGGCTCCGCGTTCCGTAAGTGTTCCACAGCTTGCCTCAGGCTTTCCTTGTGTTTTCGACCGGAAATCGAAGGTTCACTTATGGAAAAAAGGGGCCTCGTTCCTTATATAGGGTTCCTTAGGTCAACGCCCCGACTGTAAGACCCCTGACAGGTCGTCGCTCCGGGTGTGCGGGCCGTGCGGGGTGCTCCGCCTGATGGCCGCCCCCCCCCGCCCCTGGCCGTCGGGGGGCGGCCTGGCGGCTTACATCGACGGCGACGGCAAGCTCTTCGTGCTGGGCGACGCACGCTGAGCAGGAGGAGGAGGAGGAGGAAGAAGAAGAGGAAGAGGAAGAGGAGGCGGCGGAGGAGGAGGAGGCGGAGGCGGAGGAGGAGGAGGAGGAGGAGGAGGAGGAGGAGGAGGAGGAGGAGGAGGAGGAGGAGGCCGCCCTTGTCGCGTTTGCCGCCGCAGCGGGAGCCGCCGCCGCCGCCGCTCTTGCCTACCCGACGCTTCCCCGCCTCTGCCCCTGCCCGTCCCTCGAACAGGGGATCGACGTGCGCTCCAGAGAGTTGATTCCCACCTCGACCCTACGGAAAGTGCGCAGACCGCTCCGTAGATCTGCGGACGATTCTCTACGCACTTCTCGTAGACTCGGCGGGGAACGCCATTCTGGGGCACGCTGAGTGTGCAGTCGAGCCCCTGCTCGCATCCCGGCGCCGGCGCCTCCGCGTGAAGCGTCTCTGGGCCGGGCCCGCTCCGGCAGGTCGCCCTCACGGGGCGGCCGCAGGACGGCACCTCGCGCGAAGTTCGGAGCTTGCTTCAGAGCGTGAATGACCTACCCCGCTTTCGCTTCCAGGCAAAACCAAGTCATACCACGCGCCTCCTCGTCAAGCGGCCTGACCAGTACAGGCCGTAGTTTGGCATCGCTTGGTATCTCTTGGAAGCGAGGGTGGTCAAAAGCGAGGTAGGTTTGTTTGCCCCCTATTGCTGGCCAGGGCTTCGGACACGTTGGTCAGGAGCGTGCCACGATTGGAATTAGGTCGGGCCTGCCCCTCTACAGGAGGAAAACAATTCAAACATAGCCAAGACAATATTATGGGGTCAAGGTTTGACTATTTTAGGGTATGTTGGGTGTGTGTTTTGAGTATGTCTTATTTGTCGTCCAAAATCCGCCTGTAGGACGACACGCCCGACCTAAGGTTAGAAAGACCAGGATTCGCCAGGGACTGGTCTCCCCCCCAGAGAAGACGAGAACCCTCCCAAAACCCTCCGACAAAAACTTTCTGAAGACCCTCCTGGAACCCTTCCCGGAGGGGTTTCGGCGGGTTCCGGGAGGGTTTCGGGTATTTTGAAAGGAAGCCAGTCCTTTAGCGAACCCTGGACGTTCTAGTGCCAAGGAATGGCTTTGGGGGTCGGCCCTCGAGGGGGTCCGGGGTGAGGCGTCTTGCGTGTTCCACCATGCGCTTGCGCTCCGTTGGTCATCACTTGCTTGCTGTAGGCTGAAGTCGGGCATGTCCCTCTGCAGGAGGAGTATTCAGAAAGAGTCAGATATAGTATGGGGACAATATCTGGACTAATTTTGAATATGTTTGAACATTGTTTGACTATGTTTTGTCATTTTCCCTTCCAAAATCCGCATGTAGGAGGACGTGCCCGACCTAAACAGGACTTGTCGGAGGCCCGCGCGGAAGTCTTGGATTTGCATTGGACCCCCTCCCCTGGCGCGCGGAGCACGCCAGGGGCTCAGCGCACATCCAAGAAGTCCGTGCAGAACGCCGAACGTTAATGTGTGTGCAGTTGTTGCGTCTTCGATGTGCGGCCCCCCACCGCCCACCTCGTCTTTGCCGCCGTGCTCGTCCACGTTTTTTGTCGTTGTCCTGCTCTCTCTGTCTCTCCCTGTCTCTCTCTCTCTGTCTCTTTCTCTCTCCCTCATACTGAGGCCCTCGCATCATCGCGGTCCTCGTCTTCACCACCTCGAGACGTGCCCTTCAGTTGGCTACTCCCTCCTGTAATTCCACAACAAAAGGGACAAGTAGCCAAAGGCACACACACAAGCAGATATGAAAGCCCGAAACGTTACAACAATGGTGGTCATCCTGGAATGTGTGTTTTGGTGCCCCCCCTGGGTCCCTTTTATCTGCGCCTCCAGCTGTACTCTCGCCGCTTCTGGCGCTGCTCCGCTTTTTTCCTCCGGAAGTCGAGCCCTGCGCGATGATGGCGTCGAGGGGCATGTTCGCCAGTGCGGGCAACGCCTCAGGAGGACGACAGCTCGGGCTGTCGAGGAGTTGTCGCCATCGTCGGAATGGGGCAAAAGGAAGAAAGAGAACGTGAGAGAGATAGAGAGAGAGAGAGATAGAGCGAGAGAGAAAGATCGAGGGAGAGGGAGAGAGAGAGAGAGAGAAACACAAACAAACAACAACAAGTGAGGTGTATCTAGAGGGAGAGCGAGAGAGAGAGAGAGAGAGAAAAACAAATCCAAAAAGAAAGAGAGAGAGAGAGAGAGACAGGCCCACACCTCGATCAGACCGATGCCACTGCTCCAGACACCTGATCCGCAAGCTACGAGCCGAAGTCTGGGTCTGTCCACTGCTGGTAGAGCAACAACATATCGCAAGCTTCACACCGAATGAGTACCCTCCGTACGGCCCGTCATGGGAAAAAGCTGCAGCACGAGACGAGGCGGAGGAACCAATCACGTCAGTCACCACCGCTCGCGAGCAGCGGGTAGCAGGCAGGCAGGACGGGAAGGGCGGGGACGGGAAACACTGCGAGACGGCAGGGCGTGGACAGAGGGGCGGTGACAGGAGGATGATGTGCAGCACAGCAGGCACATCAAATAATCATCATGGCGACGTCGGCAACGACGGACGCAATGATGATAATAGCGATGCAAGTAAAGATGATGACGACGACGACGGCGAAGCAAATGACGGCGCCGACGCTGATCGCGCCGATGACGACGCTGGTGCCCACGTGTCGGCGATGAAGGTTTCGGTGGGATT